TATGGCTGCCGGGAAGAGGAGTGCCCCTTATTGCGTCAGGTCAGTCCCCCATGTTTGCTCTCTGATTGGCTACCAAATTTCTGAGAAGGCGCAATTATCGCAAATTAATGTTTAAAAATTACAAACGGTTGAAGCAAAATTATACCCCTTTGTCTTTGAAAAATGTTACGTGGGCTTATTTCAAGATGTCTTTTGAGAACATATTTTGTATTGAAAAAATCTCTGTATTCAATGTTGTAATTGTAGGAAGTCGCCAACAACGATTTTGATCTTTTGAATTTTTGAAAATTGAGAAAAAAATGTACTTTGATCGGCGATAGATGGCAGCTGGCAAGAGATGGAGCATGACCTAAAATTAGCCCAGACCAAAGAAATTAGAAAACTATCTAGTATGAGAAAGTATGTGCACCAGTAGTTTTTCATTCAACACATTTATTATTTCCACGCGCAAGCATTACTCACCCATGTCTCATTGCTACAAATTGCATTAATAGTAGAATGTGGCGTCGCCGACGCTGCAAACTGCTTTAAAAGTATTTTCATGTGTTGAAAATTTCTGTAATATCTCATTTCTTTCATGCTTAGCTTTGTTAAAAATGTTTTTACAGTACATGGGCGGATCCAAAAACAAATTATCAGTGCCCCACCAGGAGACAGAAACGCTTGGAATGATACCTCATATATCTCCATTGGTATAGGGAATGTGATCTAACCATGAGCGAGGGAACTGCACTCACGCACATACGCACACTCGCAATTAGTCCAATAGTACATTATTTATTTTATTTTACTTGACATCGCCCATCTCCGTCTCTTTTATATATTTTCTCACTAATCGCTATTGATTTGTCCCTTTCTAACCATTTACGTAATAGAACATAATATTTTATAGAATATAGTGTAACGAGTCGAAAGTAGAGGTGAATCTTCGCACGTATTTGACATTAAGAGATATGTATATGCACGACCTACTGGGATAGGAACGCAGGTTGGCAATGTTTTCCTTGTCATGCAGACGATCGACGTAAGACGGAAATGAAATCAACAACCAGAGATAGAAATGAACGTTCTTAAATGACGTATAGGATGAATGGAGTTTTCAGTCATAGTGGTATGACTCACTGAGGAATTTGGATGTAATATTGGTTAATATTCGATTGAGAACATAAGGAAAAGTGGATGGACTGGAATATTTGGGAGTCGATGGTGAAGTGTACATAGAGTTGGACATAAGAAGGGACTTTCGGTTTTATGAAACATTAAATAAAAGGTAAACCTAGTGTTGTTCAGGAAATTTGTTCTCTGAATCAAATATATTATTCTTTCTAGTTTGCAAACAATATTATGTGAAGTTTTTTGTTATTATTACGAGTAAATGTTCTTTTATTTTGAAATTGAAAGCGTGTTGCTTTGATATTTCTGTGAGTTGCCATATTCGAATCTATGGTATGTGCCATAGAAGCATCGGACCTAAATAAATAATTAAATTGATATTTTATTTTCCCCCATTACATTAATTTATTAATGGAAAAGTAAAATCCACCACAATAGGTTTTTTGGCTTCGTTATGATGAATGTCCGTTCTGAATATCCATCATAGTTTCTGGGATTTTGAGGATATATTTTCCAATATGTACAAATTCTTAAAATTCTGATAAGATTGTCTTGTGATTTAAATGTTATATAATTTCGAAATTGAATATAGGCTTTAAAGTAGCTATTATTTATTTGTTACGAATTATTGTTATTGTTTTTTTGTTAGTTTGTTTGATTTATTATTATTAATATTATTGTTGTTATTATTAATATATTGTTATTATTATAATCAGTATTATTAATATTATTATTTGATGAACACATCAAGACCACTTGCGAATAAAAAAAGTGGCCAAAATATTGTTCAAAGCACTAGTTGACTCAATCATACGATACGGAGTACAAATATGGAGCAATACAAGTCAAACGCATCTAAATAAATTATTCTCTTTACAATTTAGAATACGAAAAATTGTTGAACAGGATAAAGAATTGTACGAGAAACAACTGTTTGCTAGTAATGAAATATTAACAGCATCAGGATTTAGCAAATACCTGCACTTAATTCACTATGTGATTATGCGTTTAGGATTTCACCTACAAGGGGGTACCAGGTTAGAAGACCAAAGTATTACGTTCCACATGTATTTAATAGCTATGGTGAAAAATGCCTAATGTTCTTAATACCCAAACTATTTAATGCAATTTCGCAAAATATAAATCATTATGTAAACTATTAAACCTTCTGTAAAGATCTTAAAGATTCGCTACAATCAGATATATAATTAATTTTGGAGATATAAAATAACAAATAAGATTATAAAATATATATTCTAACACAACAACAACAAACATTCAACTCTGCAGTGGCTGCCCCAACACTAATGGGAAAAATAAATAAAAATGACAAATTGGAATGTAAGATGTGTAATGTAAGATTTTGTACAACATATTGTAAATGTATGGATTTGATAGTATTACTGTACCTACATGTTAAGAACTGTAGGGAACCTGATGTTAAGTCCTTGGATTTATCAGGACCCAACAACTATTTCTTGAAATAAAAACACATTATTATTATTATTATATACTTATTGTTGTTAAATATTATTAGTTTTATATTGGAGATGAATAAAAGTATTATTTTAACGCTGATGATTAGGAAAAGTAAATGGTTGTTATATATTTTATTATATTAAATATTTAATTTCGAGAAAAAGAAAAAACAATGTTGCTTGTTTATCAAGAACCTGTCTTGAATTGATGTGAACCCCGTGCAGACAACAGATATCGTAATGGCCGTGTATATAACAGTGCAATGCATCATAATAAATTATTTTTAAATTGAAGTGAATAAAATACTATTGACAAGAAACAATCTTCAGAAAATAAATTTGATTTTACTTTCGAGTTTTAAAAGGCTCAAATGTGATAATAGGGACGAGAGAACCTTATTACATTTAATAATGAATAAACTAATTTATATGAAGTCAAATGATTTACAGTTCGTTGAGGATGACAAGAGAATCATAAAAAATACACAATATTGACATGGTCGGGATTTTGTAGTAATAGACTACTAGTCTTAGAAATATAAGTAATATTTCAGACGTCCATATAATAAATCCTCTGTAACTCGATGGACGTTCGAAAAATAGTGAAGTAATGGCGTTCACATAGTCTCTTCATCTGAGTCCGTGTAAGAGTTGGTATCACATTTTATGTATTTTAGTACAAGTTATACATAAGTTATTGAATTCTATTTAATAAACCATGGAGTCATTTACTAGAAACAGAACTGGGGGAGTTAAATGAACAGGCAGTATCTAATTTCACGCTATGCTTGCAATATGGAACGAAACTATTCTTTTTCCTTCTCTTACTAATTTAGGACTGAAATTTGAAATTCACTCATTTTTTAAAATGTTCTCGGCAATGGATACATTTTGAGAGACAAGCTTACACCCGCGGTAAATAAATAATTAATACGAAATAATAATTATATTTATTGTAAGGAGGAGGTCCATAAATTGTGTTAGCGCTATGAGGGAGAGGATTTATGCAGCGATTTACGCTGTGATACGTAGGTGAAGGGGTTGTAGTTACGTAATATTTATAATATGCATTTTAAATTTTTTTCAAACATGCGCGGAGATATTTTATTTTATTCAATCTCATGCTAATACATTAAAATATTATAAAAATTTAAATAAAAATTAGAAAGTTTACGAGTTATGTGTTTACACATAGATGGAACGGTTTCTCGTAAGGAATATATTAATTGATCTCTTAGATTAGAAGAACATGTTGAAAACAGATACATGGTGCATTATAGAATCCAATTAAATGCTGTAGACAGGTCCATGCGTCATCACAAGACGAAGTGGTGCCACGGCGTGTGATAAAATTTTCTCGCCTCCGCCTCCTTTTCTCATTAAAAATGTCTTCAATTGTAAGTTGCAGTCAGGAAAGCCATCGATATTTGACTTTATGTTATCTTCGAAATTTTGATATTAACATAAATTAAAATTAATTCAACTCGTCACACGATTTATAATTTATTTTTTTTGTAACAGGTGTGTCTTCTCGCAGTAATTATTAGAAGATTCGAGCGTGCATTACAAGTGGGGATTGGGGTATTCAAAATTCGCGTTTTCGAAATATTTACGAGTTTATTTTGTTTACTAATTTAAGGTCGTTTTTCAACATCCGAAGGTCATATAGCGACTACTCTACGATAACATTGAAGATAACGTAGATGGAGATCTGAACACACAAACATCCATGCCCGCGGGCGGGAATTCGATGCCGCGAAGTTAGTGACCTCAGCTACGAGGGCGGCAGTCTTTCATATACTTCTGATAGCAAGATGAGCAACAGAGCTGACTTGAAACTGAATAAGAATTATAGGCACACGAATTTGGAATGTAAAGAATTATTAATGCGCCTATATAGAAGTAACGTATTAAATGCTCTGAGTGATGAAATCCGGTGCACAAAGGGCTGCCGTTCGCGAACGTTCTGCTGTCCGTAGGCAGATTCCAGGGAAAAATACTATAGAGGCTGTCGAGCACGCCTAAATATTCTGAAAAGAGCTTCGCGAACGCACACGTGATCAGGTGTCTTATTAGGCGTTCGGCAGCGACAGCGCTGGCTGAAAATGTAAGAAATAGGTGAAGTGGAAGACATGCACATCATTTTAGAATACAGTAAAGAATAAATTGTACCAAGCCTCGTAGCCATGAGGCCCAGGATGGTCGTACAAACTGCGTGATGCGTAATGCATTTAACTGTTTGAAATAGCAAAAAAACACGCACTACACTTCCGGGACTATTGGCTTCGCAGCTTGCCGCGCGCCTGATCCCTTCGGCGGGTCCGTGTTGCAGGATGCGGTGGCGGGCGCGTGGCGGCGGTGGGCGTGGCGCTGGCGCTGGCGGGGGCGCTGGCGGTGGCGGCCACGCAGATCATGTGCCCCACGTGCCCCACCGCGTGCGCGCCGCTGGAGAGCCTGCGCTGCGCCGCCGGCGAGCGGCCCCTGGCGCGGCCCCCGCTCTGCGCCTGCTGCTGCTGCCCGCGCTGCGTCCCCGTCATCCGTAAGTCCCCCGCGCCGGTCGGACTGAACTGACCACTGCGCCTCAGCCGATATTTCCGGAGCCTTTTCTCTTTGCTATGCGTATGGTGCCATTTGCTCTTTTTCTGTACATTCAGAACCGCTCGAGTGTGTTGAAATTGCTTTGGTAAGTGTTGGTTGTAAGTTTTGGTTTGTGGGTGGAGAAGTAATAGTTAGCACATGTATTTGCTATACGTGACATGGTATCATAGGTGACATATTACCATTGGCGCCATTATATATTGTGGGTGCCATGCTATACCGTGAACTCAGACCATCAGGCATGCTCTTCCATCTGACCATGCAAATTTGGCCACGCTTTTTCCACCGATCGGACTGGAATTTCTTGTGGTCTATGAAAAACTGACCATCGCTTGAACCGACATCCAAATTATAAGGTGAATGGTTATACGGTTGAGCACACACTGCATAACATGGTATTGCATGTCAGGTATTTCACAATCTATCCTACAGTTCGGATCTCGCCCTCCGCGATTTCCATTTTTTCATACTCCTAAGGGAATTACTGTACAACAGTGACGCACATGTTGATTCTTTATTGTCAAAAATGTCTCAGTTTTGTGAAAAAATTATGCAATATCTGTTTTTGTACAAGTTTTCTATGAACTCGTGTTTTCTTTTGGTTGATGACATATGGAAACTTATTTTCTGGTTGACTCTGATATTGACCAACTTGCATAACAATATTTTCTATAATGTGCGTCGAATACTACGTACGCCAGTTATATTGTTATTCTAAACAATTTGACTGGCTTTTGCTCATGCACGTCTAGTTGACGAGGTTCCGCCCTTCGATCTCCGCGATTAACATAAACTAGTGGTGCTGGCAAAGCATACACTTTCTCGCATTGTTTGTAAATGTTCCGCAATGTTTGCTACTACATATACCAGCCAAAATATTTTGAAGCAGTAATTTTTTCCGCTCCGAGATCCGATCTCAGATCTTCAAAGTTAACTTGCCGGTACTCATAGCACTACGTTACACAAGCGCCCTTTGGATCGAACTCAGGTAGAGGCGTAAAAAGGAAAATGCCCGATTCATGAAAACAACAACCCTCGGCAATCAAAATATCCATTAGAAACTTCGAAAGTCACGATTCAGATAGATTGGTGAAAATGAATTTTAAAGAAAATCGGCAGAACGCTTTAGGCGCTAGAGGTGACCACAAACGGGCAGACGGACGCTTTGCCCATCAATCGATTTTTCAACAAAATTAACAAAAATCAACAAAACCAACAGAAGAAACAAAACATGGATTCTGGCTCCAATTGGCTTCACGACGTGTTAGTGGATTTTTTTTCTAAATTTAGCAACAGGATTTATCCACTTTTTCGTTACCAGTGCCTGACAATAAAAGTTTTTACTGGTGAAAATTTACCGTTTTCTTTGGCACGAATACATTACTTTCTCATTTATTATGAATTATTCGTAAGTCGAGAAAGTAAAAACAGAAAATTGTCTGGAAAGGTTAAAAATTGAGTTTGCGCAAACCATGATTTGAATACAAATACATTTCAAACCTACAAAATTTAGAAACGGCTATCTAATTGAAACAGTATATCCCGCAATATAATGCTGCGTTAAAGTCTTTAGTGCTCCATTTCACGGGCTAGGAGTTAATTTCTTGTGTCGGGTACTTGTCCAGTACGTTAAAGGATAAGACCCCGATCGGCGAGTACGCATGCATTCCGTTCATGAGCCAGTTGGATTGAGTGATTTTTATTTTTTAGCCGTTGGTGGTTCCTGCCCTGTTGTTGGAAAGCCTCCGTCTGTGGGGCAATGCGTCGACGGAACTAGATGCATCAGTGGGACATGTGTGGAAATATAAACATCAACTCCACAAGAATTCCCCTGTTGACGTACATTTTTTAAGGAAGATAAATCTATTTAAATGTCCAAATAATGTAATTTCTATTGTTCATTAAATACGTGTATTATATATGTATTTGCATTATTTTTTTACCATTTTCATTCATTCAAGTCAGTACCAATCCTTCCAAAAGTAAAAAAATTGATACATTGTAAATTATCCTTTAAATATTGACGTTATTTTCTTTAGGTTCCTGTGCAATAAAAGTCAGGAAAAGTTGAATTGAATGAGTTTTTCTGCTGCTGCCGCCTCCGCAGTCTGAGTTAGAGCAACGAGGAAATCCCTCCGCCCGCCTGGTCCCAGTCAGCGGAGAGACCGACAGTGAGTTCAGTTTAGTAGTGAAAAAAAGCGACGAAGGGGCGACAATGAGCAAGGTAGGGCAGCGCTTTGGTTATTGGACAGTTATCGTTGGACATCTTGTTACACGAAGGTTAAGCATTGGTTTATGGCATTTCTCTTGGCTCTCTTAACTTCGGCATTGTTTACAAGACGGTTGTGGATTATGGTCAATTGTCCACTCTGCAACAAAACGTTTTACTTATTTAAGGTCGCTTTTAAATGCTATGGTCATATAGCTATCACTGTAAGTAACATTGGTTTTGTAACTTTTGAGTAACGGTAGCGGGACACGCATACCGACAGAGAAACATCCATGCCTCGGGCGAGTTTCGAACTCGCGACCTTTCAAGCCAAGGCAGCCACGGCCCTTCAAACTTAGCAACCTCGGCCGACAATAAAATCTTTTGTAAATCCTGTTCACTGAGTGTTCTTATTTTTAGCACAACAATGTGCATGAAAAAATGAAGTATCAGATATGATAAAAAACGTTAATTGTTACGAAGATTAACCATTTTACTGCAACATTAACACTTCTCATTCATGAGAAAAGCTCTACATCCAATAGCTACAGAGTTAGTTGCGTACGTCCATTCCTCATGGTTAGACAACTGGCCGGCTACAAATGTGCGTGACTGGGATCCAATCGACGCGTCTCGATTTTGTTGGTGTTCTTCGTTTTTGTTGGTGTTCTTCGTTTTTGTTGGTGTTCTTCGTTTTTGTTGGTGTTTTTAGTTTTTTAAGCAACTAAAACACATTTTGAATGTCTTGCAGCACTTGCAGAAGTGATAAATAGGCGATTTGGTTCCTCTCGCCAACAGAAATAGATTTCCAGAATAATGTTAAACATGTTCCCTCTAGAATATTCTGTAAGAATTCTAGAGAAATGCCTGATTTTTAATATTCCAGTGCACTTACATTGGAGAAACATAGTTTTAAACCTAGACTAGTTTTTTAGTGAAACACAACGCAAAAAGTAAAGTAGCTACTATTTCATTTAACTTTCTATCCCCTAAATGTGGCAGACGGATTACTGTATTATATTTGCAACTTTTATTATGTACTTGCATAGTATAATTAATTTTTATCATCTAAAGTCCCGATAGAGGCGCCTCGCTAATCTAGTTCGAAGTATCTATTTCTTGACCTATCCTCACCTCTTACTTACACTTCTACTAACATGCACTACCCTACTTCACATACACATGTCGGGAGACCAGTCGAGAGCTTAGAGCTTGTCCCCATTAGGGCGGTACCCAGCTTGTGGGAGACACCTGGCTGAGGAATACCTCGCTAGCTGACATGTAGGTCGGCGCCGAACCTCATCTAGCGGGAGACGATCACCGCTACCTTCCGCGTCAATAACATGTGCTAAACTTACGGGACCAATGACCTCAGCAGTTGACGGGCGTAGAATTCTTGGCGCGCCGCCTTAGCACTAACCAATAAATCAAAAATCAATTGAACTGAAGATTCATTTCTGAAAACGTTTTAGAACACATTTTTAATACCATGTTAATTTTTTAAATTAAATTACCTTTTTATTTAAATTTCAGAGATTGTAGAAGTTATTCGTAGTTCGTAGTAATTTCCGCATGCAATATTTTGTATTTGAATTTTGTATGTTTTTTCTTTGAATGGAAACTCGCTGTAAATCCATAAACTTAATTATTACGGGTTAAGTCCTTCTTTATCGCGTCGTTTCTTACAAATGAGCATTGGAATCCAGCATGCTTCTTGTGTTTTCTTCCTGACAAAATTAAGTGGTCTTATTTTTAGTCGTTGACACAGTGACGCCAGCAAAACGTCATAAGGTGCCCAACCAGCCAATCGTCGACTAGACTCGAAGGCCGTAGTTAAATAACTGCTTCGGGAGGCAGCGCCCCTAGCGACACGCACCAGCTAAGAATAAGAGATTACCGGAACACGCAGCGGCGGAATGGTGATGGCTGCAGAAGGAGCAAGATAGTGCTCGAGATCTCAAGACGAAACCTTTCAGAAGAACCTTTTCACCTGCAGAGGCAACACGAGCCTGAATGAAGGTTAGTCACTTTCGGGTGGATGTTTAACATTCGCGATCACAGCACTAAAACTATGACGTGTCCTTGGCTCTAAAATGTCTCTCTCTATCTTTTCTTTCTTTCTTTTCCTCTTTCTCTCCCCTCTGTTTATTTCTCACTGTTTCTCACTTTATTTTTTTTCAACAAAACTACATTATTTCGTTATGTCCTGTTTAAAGAAAAAAGGAAACTTCTTTGCCATTTCGTGAGGTAGAAATTAATATAATCATGATGATATTTGTAACCTCTAATGTTTGTTTTCTGGTTATTATTTATAACTAAGTTATGTTTCCCATTAGTGTTTTTATCATTCACATAAGAAGTTGCCATTACAGCTGGCAACAACAACAAGAAAGGTAAATCGAAGCCATGGCATGAGGAGTTCAGTGAGGAGTAAACAATGGCATCTGATATTTCACGTTTCGTTGATCCTGTATCTGCCACTGTCATGCTGCACATGTCATAGCTTACGAGGGAAGTACGTACCGCTGTCTGTTCTTCGAATATACTGAAAACTTTTCATCATTTAAGTTTATCTGCAAACTTTAGCCCAAAATGTCAGACATTACTTACACTCGAACGCCACTAACTTCAATTTAATTTCATTTAGATCGATAATGGGGAAGTATTTATGTAACTATTATCACTTGATTTTACACACCACGAAGTACATATAGTACTTCTCCGACAGTTGGAATTCGGAGTTGATATTGAATCGCCCAATTTCTAGCTAACAATTGGATCAGACTTGGTTTGCCTTGAGATAGAAACGTTACCTTCCCCAGGACGCTGTACGTGGAAAACGCCGCTATATCCGTAAATGTAGCGCGTCAATTGACCATAATTCCAAACTGACATATTCTCTTTCGTTTGCGTTAGAATTTCACATATCAATATGTTAACATCACGCTTCTCCATTATGATGCCAAGTATTGTTAAATAATTGATTTTTTGCGGTATCGAACGGAATCCGCAAACTATTGAATCTTCTTTTGTACGATAAATGAGAATACTTTCTCTTCCTGAAAACATTTTGTTTCAAATAATGACGAGGCGTGAAGTGGCAGGCGTCGCAAAGTGGGGAGGGGACGTTAGACTCTCTTTGGAGTATCTTGTGATTCCAGGCGCAAAAAATGTTTTGCAACCCTTTGATTTGTAACAGTCTGTTTTTGTAAAAAAATTCTGCATTTGTAAAAATCTCTGGTTTGCAACACTCAGTAAAATTAGACATAAATAGCGTATCAAAAAGGATAACTTCATGTTTATTCACTTGAACCTCCAATTTTATATATATATATATATATATATATATATATATATCCTTTATATTTATATATAATGTCCAGTTTTACACGTGTTACTTTTCAGTTTTGTTTAAGTCAATATTTCTTGGTTGCAAGTAATTTGAATTTTCAGCGTTTGGGGTCAGAAATGCTCACAAACAGATCTCACGGCACACGTCTAAATTACACTGAAATTTCTAAAACCTTATGTATTTACGTTTAATATTATGTTGTGGTTTATCAATGATCTATTTGTCCTTTACGAGTTGGTAACACTGTTGCAAACTTTCTCGTGCAGGTAAAATAGGCATCTATGAACAGTTATGATAAGCTAGAATGTTTTTCTGGAAATGGTTAAATAGTAATAGTAAAAACTATAAATAGTAAAAACAGCAAAAATAAAAAATAGTAAAACATCAAATAAGTAGCATCATTTTCTCAATTAACAATTACACATAGCAACCGTGCATGTAACACTTGTAAACTCTAGTGTAAAACGTGTGGGGATCAGACGTGACCCCAAACAGAGACCAGTAAGTAACAGAGGAACAGAGTGGGAGGGTCGATGAACGTGTTGCTGGGCGCAGACTCGCGTCGCGCCGGAGGTCGCCGCGCCGGCCGCGCCCACTGCGCAGGCGCCGTCGGAGGGCCGGGACTTCCAGTGGAGGCGCTGGCGGCAGCACTGCGCCGCGCTGCTGGGTGAGCCTTCTACTCGCCCCCGAAGCGACGCAGCTGCGAGTCTCCCTGCTCAGTGGGACGCGACCGTCCACTTTCTCCCTCCCGGGTGTGTTTAAACGTAACAGGAAGTTTGAAGACGTGACCAGTAAGTTGGACACCCACACAAAAATTTTCAACATTAGGGACACAATCATCATCTGCGGGACCGGGATAGGTGGCTTGGATGATGACCCTGTAGTGCTTCGGACCGGGAGGTCCTAGAGGTCCACTCCCGACGCTGGCAGGATTTTCGGCCCTAGTTAGCTAGATAGCTAGATAACTAGCTAGCTAGCTTGCTAGATAAGTCGAATTAAGCCGCTTTGTGGAAAATTCGAAATCGTATCGTTGAAGCTATGATAGGAAAAGTGACACAAATTAGTTACTAGAGCCCAGTCTATGAACAAGAGTACAAGTAAAACATTTTTTAAACAATAAAACTGTCTGTCGCAGCATGTCACGCGCTTAGATGGCTCAGGGCTTCAATTAGTGTCACTGCAGTGTCTCTGAGTGGGAGGTCCTAGGTTCCACTCTCAAAAGTGCCAAGATTTTAGACACAATATAGCTTGGTCGAATGCAGCCGCTGTTTGGAGGAGAATTCTAACGGCCAGCTGCTCTGATAGGTAGCTTTCGATGGTTTCTCTGAACAACACCAGGCAAATGCTGGAACAGTACCCCAACAAACGACCTCGGACCGCGCGCGATCTTCCTTGTTCTCTACTCGACCCTTACTTACACACACTTACATGGGTTCGTAGGCTTCCGCGGCCGGAGTCAATGTATTCTTGGCTATCCGGGATGAGCCGCGTCTCAGTTAATTGGACTGACGTTTCAGCCATCTTGCTGTGGCCTCCTTCAGAGCTATACTGCTGCTATACACTGCAGAGCTATACTCAGCAGTATAGCTCTGAAGAAGGCCACAGCAAGATGGCCGAAACGTCAGCCCAATTAACTGAGACGCGGCTCATCCCGGATAGCCAAGAATACACACATTTACAAGCACTGCGCATACTTCCACACGTGGCGGGAGACAAGTGGGTAGCTTAGAGCCGGTTGGTGCTGTGCCCGCTGGTGGGAAACTCTGGTTGGGAAAAAAACACCAAACCAGCTGTTATAAGCTCTTCATTTACGAGACTAATGGGTTGAGCAGGTGATGCGCCCGGAAACACTAATCAAAAATATGGCTGGATCATTGTTTTCCTAGAGCTTTTTATTAGTCTTCGTAGCTTTAAACACATTTTTGTTTCCTTCCAATTATGCAAATTTGTATTTTCTACTTGGGGATTTTGGGAAATTCACAAGCGTCTAAAATTCGGGGATAGGGCATTTGATTGGCCTACAAGTAGCCTTTAATTTTGGGTTTCGTTTGGTTGTATTTGGGTTTTCGGCGCTGCTACCGTTTGATGACTACCCATATGGCAACAATGCGCCTGGATGAAAGCCCAAGGTGTTGCTTTTATCAAAATTTTGTAATCACCAATATTTTCAAAGACATTTCAAACCGCAATCACAGTGTATTTTTTCTCGGGCTCTCGAATAAATACGTGCAAAGTTTGTAAACAATCGTTCGGGTGCATCAAAAGTGTTTATTGAACATACATGCACACACGCGTATCTTCATTTTTTATATAAAGTGGTACGAAAGTGTTTGTGGAACACGAATTACATTTACACTTATAGATACAGAGGTTGCTTCCATAATTTGGGCGAATACACTTGAATGACAAAGAAGAGGGCCTACAATTCATAATGTTTACCCAAATCTGTTTTTTACGAAATATAGTAACAAATTAAAATAGGCTTTGTAATATTTGCTTATGTATAATATTTGCTTATGTAGGAGGAGTTCCATTGTAAGAACAAACATAAATGTTTTAGTCCAAACACGCACGCACATGCGCACACAAGCACACGCACACACAGTTTTGTTCAAACACTGATTTGGAGACTGAGCAGGCGGAGGAAGAGAATACAATAAATTATAGATGACACACAATACATGCTCAGCCCCCAGTCTAGCTCGTGTTTTTCCTTGCCTTGACATGAGTGACTCACGAGGGGGCGCCACTGATGGGGGAACAAGCTCTCCATAGGAGGAATTGCGACTCAAGGAAGGGGAGGGGGCTCAGGCTACATGATTAGTCAACTGCAATCTTAGCGATTTTGCCGGCTTGCACGTGCTGGCTCCTTTTTCCCTCTCACCAGATGATGCCCTAGATCGTCCGTGGCAGTTGTTCACCGTTGACCGCCCAAGACCGCCGAGCTCTTGGCCTTCTAAAAACCATGAGAACGTGCCAAGTAATTTTTTGTTGGGGTACGCACGTGAATTGTTTCATTAGGGGGGGGTCAGCATTTCTGCTGAGCCCACGTAGGCGGACGAGAGTTGGGCGGAGGTTGAGCGCGCGGCGGCGTGACGGCGTGTCGCGGTGGCAGCGAACCTGTCGGTGGTGGCGGTGGGCGTGTCGATGGGGTGGACGGCGCCGGCGCTGCCCGTGCTGCGCGGGGAGCAGGCGGACGCGTCGGGGGCGCCGCGCGCGTCGCTGGAGGAAGCGTCGTGGGTGAGCGCGTGCATGCCGCTCAGCGCCATCTTCTCCGCGCTGCCCGCCGGCGCCGTCGCCGCCCGCGCCGGCCGCCGCGCCGCGCTGCTCGCCCTCGCGCTGCCCTTCGCCGCCGGCTGGCTGCTCGTCGCCTTCGCCCAGCACCACCAGGTCAGCAGCCCTCTATCCGCCCGCTCCTAGATTATCCCAATGCTGCAGATGAGTCTTGCGGCGCCAGCCAGATGCCCACATTGAGTGGCTGGCAGACTACACAAACAACAGGAAAGCAGCAGCCATATCGATAGATGTGCTGATACCAAGCACTTGCTCAGAGAACATGTTAATGCACGTGGGCGTATGCACGGCAAGGTGCCTGAATCGTAGGCAACGTTTATGACCGCTTATTCAAATTAATATTTGGCAAATTTTAAAAGTAAAAATGTAAGTGTACAGATTTGGCAGAAAAAAGATGTTAGTCAACATTGTCACAGGTGACACAGCTGTTGATTCATGTTTTGGAAATGATTGGGGTGAACATTGCTTGTTTTGAGACCATAAAGGTTGAGTTGGAAAACACTTGTTTAGTTTGGAACAGCTCAAGTAAGGTAAGAATTCTTTTGGTACCGTGCTGGGAATGAAGCTTCCAACTAAACTTAAGTAGAAAGATGGAATTGTCTCGGACATTCTAGAATGTGTGATACGTTATTGCATCACCAATACAACTGCGACCGGACTCCGTGTTTACGTGGTTGCTGTTGCAGCTGTGGCTGGTGTACCTCGGGCGGCTGGTGATGGGGCTGGCCGTGGGCCCGTGCACGGTGTTCGTGCCGATGTACTGCGAAGAGATCGCGGAGCGCTCCATCCGCGGCGCGGTGGGCTCCTACTTGGACATGATGATGGTGCTGGGCAACATCTGGGTGTACACCTTGGGCACCTTCGTGCCCTACTTCTGGTTCACCCTGCTGTCCGTCGTGGTGCCCCTTCTGTTCGTGGCCACCTTCTTCTGGATGCCCGAGTCGCCGCTGTTCCTACTGTCCAAGGGCCGAGCCGACGAGGCGCGGCGGGCGCTGCGATGGCTCAGGGGCAGCCAGTTCGACATCCAGCCGGAATTCGACGCTCTGCTCGCCTCTGTGGAGAAGCCCGCGCCAGAGGCTCGGGAGAAGGCTTCGCTGTTGGGCTTGCTACGCACCAACCCCTTCAGGTCGACCACGGTGCGTGCGTTCAGCATCGTGCTAGGCTTGATGTTCTTCCAGCAAATGAGCGGAATCAATGTGTTCATTTTCTACGCCGTGCAGATTTTTAACGAAGCCGGCAGCAACCTCTCCGGACACGTGAGTGCCATTATAACGGGCGTGGTCCACTTCGTGGCTTCCCTTATTGCGTCTATCACGGTCGACCGAGTGGGTAGGCGCTTTTTGTTACTCGCGTCCTCCTCCGTTGCCACGGTCTGTCTGACGGCTTTGGCCGTCTACTCGTACTTGCACTCGAGTGGCCACGACACGACGTCGTACAGCTGGCTGCCGCTCGCGGCGCTTCTCGTCTACCTGTCCATGTACTCGGTGGGCTTCGGCACGCTCACGTGGTTCATGATGGCGGAGCTGATGCCCGAGCGGTCGAAGGGCTGGGCGTCCGCCGTGGCCGTGTGCTTCAACAGAGTGCTCACGTTGCTGCTCACCAAAGAGTGCCCGATCTTGATGGAACGCGTCGGGCAAGACGTGGTGTACGGGGCCTTCGCCGGCTTCTGCCTCGTGGCGTGTGTCTTCGTGTGGGTGTGTGTGCCGGAAACCAAAGGAAAGACGAAAGAGGAAATCCTGGAAAAACTGGGTGGAGACAAACCTTAGGTTTGGTCTTTTTCTTCCAACTGATCAAACTAGAGGCCTGAAGCAGCTAATGTTTTGCGATACGTAATAAGAACTAGTAAAACAGTTATTGTATTATTTACTAATTGTGCTTCAGACCAAACCAGGGCTTGACTAACATAGTGCTACGGTGTGATTACTAGAACAGACAATGCGGCAACATAAATAGTTTCTGTATCATAAAATAACAAAGTTCTATCTGATTCAAAAATAGTGAATTTCATCGTATAATTTGTATAATATGTTATGATCCACATTCTTAGAAATATATCGAAATTATCTTAAGATTCAGATGCAACACTGAATTACGGAGTGCAATTAGTATAATAGGGAATACAATTTTACACATTTGTATCAAATGTTAATAAACGTTTATTTAAATGTTAAATTTACTTGCTAGATCAGTCACATGTTTCTACCAGTGGACATAAATTGTCATGGACTATTAACGATCCGAATAAGTCACAGAAGATGTAAGCAAGCGGTAATGAAGGAAAATCAGCTAGTGTTACTATGTATATTTTAGGTTTTTCAAACAAAAGATCGTTTTTTTAGAAATTTATTATCTTTCAAGATATGTCAAGTTAATAACGTAACGAATACGCACCCCTCAGCATTTCAGATGCATATTTTATCTCCCAACTTCATCCCATTAGCGATATTATATTTATAGATACGTCGTAAATATCTTCCTTTGTTCATTTTTGAAATACATCTGAGCATTCTTGAATTTATAGTCGCCTTTAAAGAAATGCTAATGAATGTATAATGAGATTTGTTCGTAAGAATATACGATTTCCTTTATTTTAAATACTCTCTGTTGCCGAACCATTTATATTATTGAAGATTTAAATCTACATATTCTAGGCTCAACCACTCCTTTCCCAATTGAATTATAAGTATTTAAAATTGACTAATTGTTAAGACGGGAATTACTATTTCTTTATCTCAACTATATGAAAGACCAGAGAACTGAATTCTGAATATGTGAACATAAGTCTTTTGATATATCTTCTGTAGAAGTCTATTTGCGAGCAATGAAACAAACGACACACGGATATATCAGAATGTAGTGCACGTGCACTGTCAGTTCACCATTCAAGCACATGAGGAAAATTAAGACGATGGGCAGAATTTTTCATTGCTTCAAGTATTGTCTTTTGTAATGAAATATAGCCTTGAAATATTGCCTTCTTCAAACATTAAATATGTATGGACTGACAATCTTCAACTGAGAGGCTGGTATGAACCAACGATGTTGTGTATCACGTATATAAATCCTAAATCAATCATATATTAACAATACTATTTATGACAAAATCAAGTATTGTACTTGACATTTTATAAAATTCAAACTTATAAATTAAAAAGTATTCAAACTTAAAAATCATAAGTCGCGATGAACCTCAAGCTACAATTAGTATTTTGGTACTCGTTCCAAAACGAAAGATACACCTTTTCTATCGGTTGAAAGTGCAGAAAAATAAGCTGTGCAAAATCCCAGCCAGTATCGATTACAATAACCTGGGCTCCCAAGGTATTTAAATTGAAATAGGAATAAATATCGTGAATCGTACTTTTTGAGACTTATGAAGGTAAGATTTAGACTCTTTCGTGTTCCATAAGGATATATGTATCCTCTAGTTTTGGGGCTTATGTGAACACGAATTCAATGTAAAAAAAAATTTTAAGCTTTAAAATTTGTATTACAATTTGTATTGCTAACGTTGAAGAGAGGTTCACTTGAAATGTGCATCTGAAGAAGCACAAAAGTTAAGAACTTTTTATTCGGGGAAGTGACGGATCCAACGCTCAGAACTCTTAAATGTTAAGGTCAATTTAAATTCAATTTCTATCTCCCTTGCAAATTGAGCAAGAACTTCTATTTATATACACTTGAAATTGTTTTTAATGATTGCTTCTGTGCACTCCTGCCTTTCGGAATCGGGCTCTCAGGAGTTCATTAAATCCTGAAGGTTTCCAAATGTGCTGTTTAAACTAGATAGTTATTATTTATCACTGCCTAATTCCTTAAGTTGAATCAACATTCAATACTGCCTATCAAAGTTCAGTTTTAAAATTAAATAGCTCCGCAATAGTTATTTCTCATATCTTCTATTATTATGAAGTATGTGTATCTTATTATTGTGATTTTGCTACAGACGAACGCAATTTCACATTAATGCACACATTCTCGGGACTAACGGGAATCAAGAATTGCACTACCAAAAACAATTGAAAAACATATGCACGTGATGAAAATTACATACACTGATAAAAAGATGTGACGATAAGACAGAATCGTAAGGAAACAACTTCATGTTGTTAATATGAAGACATAGGTTCATCAATAGCAGCACTACACCGTAACT